ATCCGTGTTTTTGTTGTGTTTTTGTTGTGTTTTTGTTGTGTTTTTGTTCAGTTGTTTACGTATGTTACTGTATAGTTATGGTCTCTGTAGTGTTTGTCGAATTATATTTGATCTCTGTTACTTTAAGTGTTCATTTTTCCGTGTGATTTTTATGGAAGGAGGCAGAGAGTGTGTGTGAAGACGGCAGCAGATGTGTTTTGTTCCAGCCAATCAGAAAACACGTCATGCACAAACACATAACTCCCACCCCCCCCCCCCCTCCCTCCCTCCCTCCCTCGGGATACAGTGGCACCCTGGACTGAAAGTAAAAAATAAATCAGAGTGAAGCAACCAGGGTACAAAGGAAGGGTTCAAATAACTCTGTCAATATGCAGTTCAAACTATTTCAGTTTCCTTGTTCAGTTTTATATTTGAACCACCAAAGATAAAACATAGTTCTGTATAAATAAACTTGAAATTATCTAGTTTTAAGACGTTTGAAACCTTGAAAGTTGTAAAGATAAATTATTAAAGATGTCAAATTGAAATTGTTTTGAAATTGGTTACTGAGCTTAATAGCAGTAGCTGTGCATACAGAAAACACGAAAAAAAGAGTTACTGGAGGTATATAGGATTATCCGCAGTGTGTTTTTCACAGCTCTAATGTTTGAGGTGATTGGAGAAAGAAATCTACCTCAAGGTGTCACTGAGGCTTGACAGGAGAAAAAGAAGTGTGTTCGATCACATCTGTCTTTCAGAACTGATGTTACAAATGGTTTCATGAAAGGGAAAGGGCATCTTGTGTGTGTGTGTGTGTGTGTGTGTGTGTGTGTGTGTGTGTGTGTGTGTGTGTGTGTGTGTGTGTGTGTGTGGTGTGTGGTGTGTGTGTGTGTGTGTGTGTGTGTGGTGTGTGTGTGTGTGTGTTGTGTGATGTGTGGTGTGTGTGTGTGTGTGTGTGTGTGTGTGTGTGTGTGTGTGTGTGTGTGATGTGTGTGTGTGTGTGTGTGTGTGTGTGTGTGTGTGTGTGTGTGTGTGTGTTGTGTGTGTGTGTGTGTGTGTGGTTGTGTGTGTGTGGTGTGTGGGTGGGGGGGGGGGGTGAAGCTGTTGTCAGGCTCATGGCAGGCCTCAGTCTGGATCAGGAAGTCGATGTGGGCGCACATATAGAGGAGGGTAGCCCTGTCAATTGTATTTGTGCCTCTGAGTAATTATTTAAAGTGCTGAAATAAACCAAAACGTTTCTGGATCCTGATTCTCTTCACAATGGTTGCCTCATTAATAGAGAGAAGTATTAGTTGTATCATAAGTTACTCAAAGAAGCATGCTTTCTTAATATTGAATCAATGTTGACATTTTAAGGCAGTTATGGACCAATGGCCTTACCACTGTCTCTGTCTACAGTTGTGCTAGCAGGCCTGTTTGGCTGTACTGTGCTTTGAGCTACATGCTAACATTAGCATGTTATCATACTCAATAGCAAGGACATGATGATGTTCAGCAAGTATATTAAACCTTGTTTTTAAGAGTGTTAGCATGGCAACATAGGCTAATTATCACTAAACACAATGTTTAATAAGCTGAGACTGAAGAGAATGTCAAGCTTTCGAGGTCAAAAAAGTGGCAGGGGAGCAACAATTTAGCAGGATGTATTACAATAATCATTTTTCCATGGATATTTGTACCAATGGTTGATAGGATATTTTTGTATTATTACGTTTATACCTTTTTTCAAACTTTAAAGTTTTTAATTCCTGAACACACTGCTGCTACTGTAACTAAATCATTTCTCAATTTAGGATCAATAAAGTATCTATCTATCCATCCATCCATCCATCCATCCATCCATCCATCTATCTATCTATCCATCCATCCATCTATCCATCCATCTATCTATCCATCCATCTATCCATCCATCCATCCATCTATCTATCCATCCATCCATCTATCCATCCATCTATCTATCCATCCATCCATCTATCCATCCATCTATCTATCCATCCATCTATCCATCCATCCATCAACATTGCAAACCAAATAGAACAAAACCACTCGAACAACATTTTTCAACCTTAGTGATAATTAAAGAAAAGCCAAAACATCTTGTATTTATTTCTAATTCATCAACAATTTCATAAATGGCAACAGTTTTTTCCCACTACAATTTTGTAAATGTTTTTATTTTTTCAGCCTACTGTGAATCAGCTAACTTTCTTTGCAGGATTTCAAATTGTGTGGCCTTAATAATAACAATTGGAGGGGTAAGTACACTACAAAGGAACTTCTCAGATTTGCAACATATGATGGATGGGAACAACTAGATGAACTTTATATTAAGTGGTCAAGAGCAAAAATAGTTTGGAAAGACTGCAGTAGCTCTGACAGACCACTAGAGGGCGGCATTACCTTCCCGTGAAACTGCAGCTCCATGGCAGCCACTTACATGGAGCCAAATCAATCATGGGCACATTTTTGTATCAAATGTCTTCCAGAGAGGTGCTTTCAAATGCTTGTCAACACAGTGATATGGTTACTGACCTGTACTGATCCATCTACATCATCTCAGGTTGTCAGGTTATCATCAGCTGCCCCCTGAAAATATCTTATCTTAGCTATCTCTTATTTGGTGAGGAAATATGCACCCCCCCTTCTGTCTGACTGGATGATATCCAGTCCACGCAGGCCTGACCCCCGACTGGTCACATGATCTGTCTCACACAAACAAACAAACCATACTAACATCTGATTTAATTAGAGCGTGACAGAGATAAAAGAGGGGGAGTAAATTAGACTGTGTTGGAAAATGATGCTTTTCATGTTGACAGATTTCAGAGTATTATGATCAACATTTTTGAAATTGTGTTTGCAAGAAGTAGTTGTTCTCTAGCCTAAAAATATGTTTCTGTTACCCAAGGAGGAAGTTGTGTATCTTATTGCAACAACACCCTGAACCTGAATCCTGTTACCATATCATCCAGTTTTCAAAAACGGCTTCATTTTCTGGTGCACATCTGACAAAAAGTCTCTGACAAAGACTCCCTTGAACTTTGTCCTTGGCTGAACTTTGACCTCTTGGACACTGTGTTTGCCTTTCATTACTTTCTCTGCACAATCTGTCAGTCCACAGTACCGTCTCTGTCTTCTGTTCGCTTTGTTGGTCAGATCAATAGACTGGATGCTGACAGCCGACCCAACATGTGTCGAAACTGGAAAAGTGACACAGGGAGACTGAAAACACAAACACATGTTATCATTGATTCCAGCAGCATCAGCACTATAGTCCAGAAACAGTTAAGAGATATGTGTTCTTCAGTGTAATAGTATAGTCTTGTGCCCATATTGATTTAAGCTATGCTGTTTAGATATTTTCATCCAATGAAAACATTTATCCCATCAGCTGACAGTTATAAGACTGTCATTTGTATGGTTGTGTAAAGGACTGTGCCCTCAGTGCATATTCTGTTAAGTCAACCAAGCTACATGGTTAGGTTTAGTAAAACATCGTGACTTGGGTTAAATAAATATATGAATACATTACATTTACATGATTACAACAGCAGATATAGCAGATACAGTTAGGGGAATAAATGGCTGAGTATGTACACGTTATGAAAAACATAATAAATACAAAACAAAATAGAAGTTATGTACACCATGGTAATACATGTGTAATTTCAGGAGGTTATATTGCACTTGCATGTATATTGCACAAAGATGTATATCTACAGACATTGTTATTGCGCATCAGGGGAATTCCAGTCTATGTGTCAGGGGTCTACCAGGGGCCATGGTGGTTGAAAAGCCTGACCACTGCAGGAAGGAAGAACCTGCGGTATCTCTCTGTGAGACACCGTGGGTGCAGCAACCTGTCACTGAAGGAGCAGACAGGGTGTCCTGGAGGGGGGGGGGGAGAGAGAACTGTCCAATAGTGATGACAGCTTGGTCATCACTCTCCTGTCCCCCACCACCTCCACAGTGTCCAGGGTTTGGGGCAAATGTCAATAACAATGATTAAAAGAAGACAACATAAGTACATTATAACCACCATTTGGATTATAAGAACAATACATTGTATACAGGAAAATGTCTTTGCCCTTTGCTGTTAATCGGAAGATAGCACCTTAAGAAAATAAATGCTATTAAATAAATATTAACAATATATGGCAAGACATAACTGATAATATAATGCTAGGCTAATGTAAATCACAGCAAGTGCACTTTCACCTCGTGAGGCTGGCACGTCACAGCCACTGGAATATCATAGTGACCCTATCATGGCTATCCAGTAGCTGAAGGGTTAAGGAGAGGAGGAGGGGGAGGGGGGAGCTTCATCAAGTGACACAGGGTAAGACAGAAGCAGACCGGATATCGTCCAAGCTATCCATCAAAAATAAAATTGTGACAAAGGTAATAAGGACGCTACAATAATGATAATGAAGTTATTCAAAAATAAGTCAATCATCATAATCATAAAAATCGAAACTATTTTGTATTCATTTGAGAGACAATGCTTACGATAGCATTCATAATGGAGGGGGTTAGACACACACATATAACGTTGCTTTGCATTTTTGTGTGCTTTTAGAATCAGAATCAGGTTTATTACCAGGTAGGTTAACACATAGATCTATGGTTAACAAATAGGCCTACAGGGAATTTGACTTGGTGTTGTGGTGCATACAAAAAATAAAACAAAATGTAAAAACATGGAGAACTATAATAACATTAATAAAAATATAGTAAAATATAGCAGTATTAACATTGACTATGATTTAATTCGTATGAATAGAATTGGAATAAAATATAATGCAGTAATGAAAAACAAAATAATTATACATTGTGGGGTTGATCATTAAGATAACGTAAAAATGACAACATAAAACTATTTTCAAAGTAAATAACACTGTATTGATGTATTTAAACATTTATTTGTAAACCTCAATACAGAAGCAACGTTGCAAAAATATTGAGCGTGTCATAAAGCTTTTATTTTGAAAATTCTTTACGAGTAGCGTTTCTGGTCACTGTGCCTGACTTGACGTCGCAGCTCTACTCTTTAACATCAGTAGCAGCCTTCGGCATAGTAGCGCTGCTGCAGATCCTCTGGGGAGCGGACAGAAAGATATCACTGTGTTTGTGTGAACATGCCGACAGATAGAGCATCTTTCTGCCTCTCATGTATCCTTTCTCGCTTTATCTGAAGAGGAGTCCTGCAGAGGAAGGACTTGCAGAGCCAGGAAGGAGGTGACATGCCCTTCACTGCATGGCGCAGTCATTCGCTGTCAGAATTGGACGAGGTAAAGACCGGAATTGTGCTTTAAAATCGTTATTTTTAAGGCAAAGGAAGCGTGGCCATCTGTTTTGGATAATCTTCCAGGGAGAATAACGACATTACATGCCGGAGCGACGGGGAAATGCAGCACAGCGGGCGTTAGGCTGCAGGTGGATGGCCAACCTGACGGTTCCAGCCGCCGCTTCCCTCCCGTTCCGCTGCTCTGGCGTCACCCAGCGCTTTAAACCCAACTGAAAAACACAGAGATCCGAATAAACCATGCTTCCAGGGGTCGGTGTGTTCGGCACCAGCCTGACCGCCAGGGTGATCATCCCGCTGTTGAAGAACGAGGGCTTCGCCGTGAAAGCGCTGTGGGGCCGGACCCAGGAAGAGGCGGAGGAGCTGGCCAAGGAGATGAACGTGCCGTTTTACACCAACCGGATCGACGACGTGCTGCTGCACCAGGATGTGGACCTGGTCTGCATCAACCTGCCTCCACCTCTCACCAGGCAGATCGCAGTCAAAACACTGGGTGAGTCCTGATGCTGCTGCTGCTGGGGGGGGCGGATGGATGCTGCGGCCCTGCTGTGGTGGTGGTGGGGGGCTGACAGACAGGACCCCAAGCCTCTGATACCACAACTTTGTGTCTTTATTGTCCTGCAGTGGAGATGGGGTTGAGAGCAGATTTATGCTGATTTATTTAAGGCTGCTGCTGGATTAATGTGGAGTCAGATTGTGGCTGCAGTGCCCTTGAGCAAGCCTTATCTCCAGGTGTAGTAGAACCGAGGCAATAATTTATCATCACAGTGGTTTAAAATATGACTTTCTCTGACAGGATGTAGTTTGGATTAAGGGGTTTCACTAAGCACGGATACACATCCTTGTTGTGTGGTTGTGTTAACAGAGGCATGACTTCCTTCAGTATTGCAACTAAGAATAAACGTGCATCAGTGGTAGATGTGTGTTAGGGGACTCCCCCCTAAATACAGAACTTAACCTGTGTTAGTGAAACTGACAGACACAGAAGAAGTCTGAATGCAGCGAAAGAGAGACCCACAAAGAGAGGTTGTTCTAGTTTCAATCTGGAGCATCGCAGCTTATTTTGGAGATCACATTCAGGAGGACTCTGTGAAAGAATGGAGGACTCCTGAGCTGTACTCCACACACACTGGCTTTATTTACCCGCATTTATTTGGCAGCAGAGCTCAGCTGGCAGTAGACTCAATAGGTCAGGTTTGTGACTGAAACACAAATTAGTCTTAGCATCCAACAAGGATCTGGATCATATCTGGAAACACATATTGGGAGTACAGCAGTAGTGATGATCTTCAAATTTATAAAACGCAATTCTCCAAAGCCCAGATTGACATCAACAAGTCATAGAAAATGAAGCTGTTCCAGAGCTTTCGGTCATAAAATATGATCTTTATCACTAAATGAAAATAAATAAGAACATCTGCAAACCCATGACTGCTGTGCAAATTCAATCTGTAAAAAGCTCGTGTGATACATCGCTAAGCGGACCATGTCAACTAGAGGAAGTGCACCTTTGTGAACCGCAAGGTCAAGGAACAAACACTGAAGCATCTGCTGTTTTACTGAGATGTATTCGAACAGGCATCACATTTTCATGAAAGATCCTGTTCTTGTAAGACATTTTCTATTGACAACACCTAGGGTTATTCTGCACCGTTTGTGCGTGCGTGTGGGTCTTGTGACTGGACTCGGCTGATGAGTTCTTTAGCACGCTCCTTTTTGACCTTAGCTCAATGTCATGGTTTGTCACCTGACTTTTTGATGCGTAGCACGAGATGTTGGAATTCAAAGTGTCACATGCATCTGGTTTGGTTCGGTGTAGGTCTTAAGGGCATGTTGGCATGGTTGGAAAAGTGTCCATAAAGTCACTTCTGCATTGGCATCTCAGCATCAAGATAAGGCCTCTGTGACTCCATTCATTCTCACACTGATGCTACTGTTTGGCTTCACATTCTGTGGAGGAGTACAGTAGACAGTGTTTGTTTTTACCGTGACCACACTAAAGTCAATATATACTGTACATGCCCGCACTTAGTCATAGGCCACACTCATGCATGCAAACACATTCCCGATTAGGAAGTACATCTCTTTCTTCATCCCATCATGCATGTGTTAATCCGTGTGAATACCAAATGTAGCCAGCTGATCCAGGATCTGGTCCAAGTGAACTTAACTCAGGCTGCAGCCACACGGAGACGATACGGGTCGTATCCGCTACAGTTCTATATCATATAGACGGTTCGGCCACACGAGGCCGACAGGGAAACGCAGAAACGATAACGGGTACCCAAGGTGGGTAGATCTGCAGACGCAACGCTCTGGGGGGCCAAACGGCTCCGTGATTACGCCCTATACGATAATTTCCTGTTAACGAAAATACTGACGGGCTGTCAGGAGAGGGGGCGGAAAAGAGAGACTCCGTATATTATTCTTATATTATTATATAGAGTCGTTATTCATTTGTTTTAAAGCTCAATAAATAACAAAGAAGACCTCTGACCGGCACTTTTATAATGTTGTCCAGAAGATTTAAACTTTAACGGACATGTTGACCGGCGAAAAGGGTTAGGGTTAGGAAACTCTGCCGCACGGTTCCCTCGTCCCTTGGAAGAGGCGGAGAGGTGGGTGTTTTTCATCTGCTGGTGGACTACCGGGGAGATTTACAGCAGGAGCACACGCTTGCCTCGGGGAGGGAGAAAAAGAGCCAGAGCCCTGGCCCCTGCCTCTCCCCACCTCTGCTGTTAAATCCACGCGGAAAATAAACAGAAGGGCAACCATGGCAACCATGGCAACCATGCATTCTCGTGAAGTCTTCTTCGCTGCTTTTGGTGTATTTTGTGGCGGAAGTACAGTGCCACTTACAGGCCCGGCATATATACTACAGCGTCTCCAGCGGGTCGAGCGGTCTCATGTGGACGGGCACGTTTCTGGTGCCGATTGCGTGTGGACGGAAGACTTTTTTGATATCGAATTCGGTTTGTTTTCGTTACCGTCTCCGTGTGACTAGGGTCTCAACCTGCACAGCTCCTCAAAGACTATTCTTTCTCTTTCCTCCGGGCTGGTTTCCTCACAGCTCCATTGTGAGAGGGCCGCCTGTTCCTTCCCAGCATCCTCTCTTCCTCAGCCAAGTCTGGGTCCAATCCTATTTGCATTATGTCGGAACACAACATAAAACAGCGTTGGGGAAATTCTGCTGAACTTCGTTTTAATGATCAGACTTGGAGTTCAGTTCGCCTTGGTTGTGCTAGTTTGGTGACTGAGAAGTTGTTATTAGTCATGCTATGTTACATTACATATTATTCAGCTGATGCTTTTATCCAAAGTGACCTACATTCCCTCAATACCGTAGACATGCTTACAGAAGCAATTTGTAATAGACTAACACAGTGGTATAATAATGTATCTGTTTATGCACATTGCACTTTACATGGAACATTTTAAGAATTTAACTTGCTGGAGAATAGTCGGTACTCTGAAAGAATGTAAAAATAGAACAAAGTTAAACATTTGACTAAACATACTGATTATTGTATTTCAATGTGGTCCATTTCGGGTCTACCTTAGTCAGTGTTACATTTTTTCAAACATATTTAAAGAGATATTTAAGAAACTATTGCTTTTTAAAGTGATTTCACCTTCCCAACCTCTCCGTTTACAGTCAAAAAAGTTTCAAAAACAATTGAATTGTAAGAAGACACATAGTGCTTGTGAAATAAAAGGATCAGCTGAAATGACCCTCAAAATGATTCCGTAACACATCATTCAAAATGTCAGTACTGTATATTGCAACAGTATAATGCATGATACTTCCAGAGAAGTCTTATGCACACAGTGACTGGTCCCGAGACGCCAGCTGGGTGAGAATGCACAACTTACTTCCTCTTCTGTCAGGGTGTGTGAGCTGATGCTAATCTGCCCGGGGCTGGCTTATTGCTTTCTTCATGAGCTAAGTTGATAAGTGTGATCAGACTTCTTCAACAGAGGAATGTTACATTTCTAGCTTTGAAGGCATTCAACAGTAGATTGTGTGAGTTATTTCTGTCTTAAAGGATACCTATTATACTCTTTTTCATCAATATATTATAGTACTCAGTTATATACAAAACATGTCTCTGAAGTGTTTGGCTCGAAATACCAAACAGATCATGCATTGTAGCATCCCATAATCCCCTCTGTTTCAGCCCTGTTTCAAAGGTGCTGATTCTGGGTCTGTTACTGTAGATGAAAATAAAGTGCCACTCCCCACGGCCCTCTGAGAGATATTTGGTTAAAAGGAACACAATGGTGCTCTAGGAGGAGATTCAGGTGATCAGGTGGGGTGGGGGGGTGTTACCTTGGTAGTTACACAACCCAAAAAAACATTCTGACATCATAAAGTGGCCAATATCTGATCAGCTTGTTTTGAGACAGGTTTTTATATGTACATATAAATGGATCAGGACAAAAAGAGAGCAAATGTTTTTTTCCTGAAACTTTCAGAATCTTATCATATTTATGTATAAAAGACATGAAAAAGTGGATTTTGCATAATAGGTGAACTTAAATTTGTCTTTGTTTATTTTACAACAAGCGTTGAATATTGCCTGCCATCCAATGCTGACTCCAAAAATGAATGAAGACTACATACATTAGATGTAAACTGATATAAAAATAGACTTGAAATGCCAATGTTAACCAATGAGGAAGGTGGGAAAACACTGGTTCATCAACATGCTCCACGTGTTGTTCAGGTTTTACAGGAGTCCCCCCTCCAATCCTTTAAACCAGTCCGTCCTGTTGAGCTGCATCTCGCCTTCCATTGGGATTTCTTTCACTTATCTTTCTCTTTCTACTACTACGGCATTCCTGAGGCGTCTGATGTCACAGCTTTCAGTGTGTTGGCAGGGGGGAACCTCACTGTGAACCCACACACACACACACACACACACAATTCTCTGCTTTCAAATACATACTTGTCACTGAGACAGCTCCTCTGCTCATATGTTTGAATACTTGGGAAAAATCATAGTTGACCTTATTTGACCTCTAGTCATTTTCCTCTTTTTTTATCCTAAAACTGTCTTTTTTTTGTTAGACATAAACAATGTTGAATTATCTTGCTGTTTAAACTTTAAAGTGGCCTAAATTCGTTGAAATTATCAAATCTTACTGTTTTTGGGACGTAATTATATTATGTCGATTAATTTAAGGAACATTTTTCTCAATCAGCTAAACAAGTGATCCAGGAACTAACATCGTGAGTATAACCAATTGAATGTCTTCAAATTGCTTTTTTTGTCTGATTTTTTTGGTTTAGTATGTTTGGTAAGTATGTTTTCACCCTATAGTTGTGTGTGGTTGGGGCAGCAGCTTGTGTGTATGTGGGCCAGATGCTGGGGGGGAATCTGAGAGCTGAACTGAAACTTTACTCCAGCCGAGTTTCAGGTGCGCTTTCTGTCCCTTTGTGCAGTTTTGTTTTGACGCTGGGAGAAACCCTTCAGCTCTGGGGGACCTGGA